ACCAGATACCACGAATATTACTTCTATTCTGGCATGCTGGCGCAGTTCCGTCGCTGCCTCGCTGTGTATGCTGGCCAGGCACAGGGCAACCGTCTCTGCTTGTGTGAAGCGTTATTCTCGCGATGACATCAATCCTCAACTCAGTTGCCAGCGCAAGGTGTTCGCCAAACTGCGCGACGGTTGGCGCCCTTATGTGCCTGTGGACAGAGGCCTTGGCCGTGTGGATGCCGCGGTGTTTGAGGCGCACGTGCCCGCGCTTCCCCAACTGGGAGAGGATGCAGAGCCTGGCGAGCTGCAGTCCGACACTGAGGCAGAGTCCCTGGATGCCGGAGTTGCGGCAGACCCCGCTCGTGATTCTGAGCAGGGTTCGGAGTGCGAGAGCGAGTCGGAAAGCAAATCTGGCTGACCTGGAGGGCAGCTGGCTTCTGAATACAGTTTCCGGTTGCGCTCATAAGTCCGTGCGGTGCAGCGAGCTTGACACATGAGTCCTGGCATGTATGCGCAATGGACGTGCAATCCGTGCTTTCATGGTTTCAGGTCATGCGGCCATTCGGGGGCTGTTGGAGCTCTTGCTGAGATAGCCCAAGCGCTTTGTTTCGGATCCTTTGGGGATCCTGTCCGGGCATGTGGCCTGGGTTGGCATGCGCAAGCTGCTGTTTATATCATAGTGCACTGTTCTTTGAGGGTCTGTCACTTCGCAGCGGCTTTGGGCCTTTCTGCTGCACTTGTCGAGCGACTGATCATTGTGCACAGCCCTTTGCGGGCCTGTCACTTCGCAGGGTGCTGCGTTGTCTTGTCTGAGCTTTGGGCCTCTTCTTTGGGCTCCCAAATGCGTAGAGTACCACCATCCTTCGCTCCCTCCTAAACAATGAATACCGAGGCATTTTGGGCGTTTAGGAAGTCTGAAGTCTAGGTAGGCTCTAGGTTGAGGATATTACCTGGTTAAACTGGTTACTGCTTGGCTGTTTCCCTACCGGTTGATGGTTGTCTCGTTGAGGGTCGGGGGCTTGCGATGCGGGTTCTTTTTCGACTGTCGCTTGAGGGCACCTAGCCAACCCTGCAATGAAGGTGATAGGTCTGAGTGGGCTGCCTGTTTGGGAGTTCACTCTTCAAGGGGGTAGCCCCAGAATCTCAAACCTCTCGTAATGGGCTTCTGTCCTGAAAATCAGGATGAATGCGGAGCCCCCGCAGCAGAGGCTCTCGCTCGTATACGAAAGAAATATGGACTCTTGCTAGGACAATCCTGCTGCGATGAAGGCCGCGCGCGCTCTCATCGGAGCACATGGCCTTTTGCGCCTAGCTCATGTGCATCATTTCAAGTTGCAGCTGCCCAAAGGGTCCATGTAGCTAATCACACAGCATTTGCTTGCGGCAAAGTAATTGTATGGGAACCCCTGTGGGCCCGAAGTATACACTCGACACGCGCATGGACCCTCCGGGATACGTAGTTGTGTGGGTGTGGGGGTTCCACCGATTGCACCACACCTGCATTCCGGGCCGCAGGCACGGGGTTGCGCCCGCAACGTGCTCGGCGGCACTTCGCCCACTACAGTAGGCTGGAATCAGTATCTTCGCAGGGGCTTGGGGCCTTCCTGCTATTCTATTCTCGAAGAACTACCCATGGCTTTGTCCGGCGGATCAGCGTCCGCGATGCTTTGGCTCACTAGTGTGCATATAACCGCTCTGCATTGCTTCCTTGCTTGCTTTGTGCTCCTGTCATGTCTGTGAACAGTGCAGCTTCGTGGCGTACCGTACCACCATGGTGCAAGCCGGGGTGCAGGAGTCTATTGCCGATGCGATTATCCGGCCCGGCCCGGCTATGACAAGGAGAGTTTGTTCCGCTCTGCTTTTGTTGATCAGCAAGCCTTTGAAAGCTGGCTGAACAAGCTACGCCGCAAAATTGGCGATGCAGCTCTGGCCACTCACCCTCATGCTGTCCGCCTGTGCATGTTATGGAAATCTGGGATGTCCGTGCAGCCGCCTTCCACTTCGGCCACACCGGCTGCATTGGCTTTGGTCCCTGCCGGTTACATTCCAGGGGCAGGAACTAAGTTGATTGCCGCTGGGCGCGAGCAAATGCGGCGCAAGCTGGAAAAGGATTGTTCCTCCTGTGTTGTGACCCGCGAGACGCTCCCCGCCCTGTGCTTTCTGCAGTCCATCCACCAGCAAGCCGCCGACAAGTTCTTCGAGTGGCTGCCGTAGCGGTGTGTCCTCAGCGAGGAACAATTGTTGGAGGTCAAGGCCCGCCGGAGCAAGTCGGCCCGGCGCCAGATGAGTGGGACATGGAGCTAGCCGGCGCAGCTTTGCGCGTCCAGCAGACCCTGGAGACCAGGGCGCGTGCGTTCGCGATGATTTCAGCCTGCCACCTTCATTTCTGGGTTGTGCGCGCGAAGAAGTTTATGGCCCTATATGCTCGCAAACCCTCTGATATGTTTGGGGCTCCCGCAGTACGAGAAGCTGATGCTGCAGATCGTCTTGTGCCCGCAGAAGTGTTTCAGTTGTGCTTCTCGACGAACATTGTTGTGGACAGGACGAACATTGTTGTGGACAGGGACATGCTTCGCCATGTCCTTATTGAGCGGCCAAAGGTCTTGAAGGCAGAGAGAGAAAAGGCCCAAGTGCCCCCTCCGCCGACCCCTTCCGGCCTTCCGCCTCTGCCTTGCAGGTCAGAGGGCAAGCGCCAAGCGGGCTTGGGGCGCCATGCCTCCGAGCGTGTGCGCAATGGGGAGTGTTGGCTCTGGGTGGATGGCAAGTGCGCTGATCGGAATTGTGGGCTGTGTGCGGGGACAAGTCGCATCATGCAGCAGTGTGCCCGCAGCAGCAGCAGCAGCAGCAGCAGCAGCAGCAGCAGCAGTGTGTTTGATTTGGCCAGCCACCCCACCAAGCAGGGGTTCGGGCGAGCGCAAGCCTATAAGGCCCCCAGTAGAGGGGGAGTATTGTATGCGCCGGAGGATTTTTGTGATGTGGAGCTGCGTCTTCCTGCGCATGGAGCCGGCAACAGCCGGCAGATGGTGGTGGCGTTGGGTCTACTGCAGATTGGCGGTTTTCCAGGGCAGCAGATATATTGAAGAAGTTGTGTGGGCAGGGGTTATCTCGCTTTGAGCAGCGGGGTCTGATTTCTCGTGTGCAGCGTGCTGCGTCCTCTCAGTCGAGTGAGGCTTGGTTGCGTGACGGAGAGATACAGCGTCTCTGCGAAGATGTATTATCTTTCCTGAAAGATCATGGCTTCTATTCGTCAACGAGGATTGCAGCGGGGTAGCCCTTGGCCTTGGACTTGTGGCGAGATTTGTTTGCGCTTACAGGTCATATTGATTCAGCCCTCATCCCTCTCTTGCAGGATGGCGTGCCGACAGGATACGAAGTACAATTCCCTCATCAGGTGTCTGGCGCGAGGTTGATGTCCCAGCACGGCCCAATTCGGCCGACAGTGTGCGGCTGGGCGCCTTGGCTTGGTGAAGAAGGAGGGGGCAGAACCCCGCCTTGGGGACAGTACAGTCTCCAACGCGAACCGTTTATGCCGTATCTTCGAGAAGATTGAACTGCCGGGCTTGGGGGATGTTGAAGAGTTCATTTCGTTTCGGTTGCATTCGTGCTTGATGTCAAAACAGCGCGCAAGCGCGTCAAGATGGCCCCGGATGAACAGGAGTGGATCCACAGGGCAATGCCAGGTGGCTGGTGTATCTTACCACTTTCGCTGCAGGCTATGTGCGTCTTGGACATTTGCTTCTGCGGTGCATTTTCTGGCTATGTATGTTGATGATGAACTCTCATTGTTTCCAGCCGCCACGGCCCCCTTACTAGCACGCCTGCTCGTAGCCTTGGCGTGTGTTTTGGGAATACCACTCTCCTATAAAAGAAGATGGCGCTTGGGGCCTGTGTAAAATGGGTTGGCTGGCTACTGCACTTCCGGGGAGAGCCCCGAGCGACCTTGCCGGAGGACAAGACACTCCGCATTGTGAATGGCCTGCTAGTGGTGGTACGAAGAGGTGATGTGCATTGCCGGGACCTTCAAGCTTTGGTAGGGCTACTTTCTTGGTTCACTTGTGGTGCCCGGTGGCTCAAACCTTGGATGGCAGTGTGGTTTCACATGCTCCGAAGAATGTGTGTTCCAGTGCCTGGACAAGGGTCAGCTTGCGGAAGTCCAAAGACTTCTCGGCTCCGACTTGCAAATGTGTCAGCGTGCCGGCTTATCTGATGTGCAGCAAGGGTGGCAGGTGGCTGAGTGCAGTAGCAAGGCCGTGAGCTGCGCGCTGGACCTCCAGTCGTGCCTTCTGAAACACGGGCGTGCCTGGGTGAAGTTCCTTGATGCTGAGTCCGAGACCGTGCGGCCTTCTCGGCAAGAATCGGAGGTGGCAGAGTTCTTCGCGCGCGCAGTGCGACTGCAGTCTCCGGACTCCGGTCCACCTTGCAGTACGTCCTGAGGATTTGGGCCTGCGGCCGCTTGCTACCGGCAGCGTTGCCGGGATTGGCGGGTGGTTTCCTGCCAGAGGGCATGCCTCTCGCAGTGTCTTTAATCATTTGGTTCTCAATCTCACTGGATGCCCATTCTTTGCCCAATTGGTTTGCGGGCGACGTTGCAGATCTTGAGACCAAAGATTTGTGCCCTGGAGGCTCTCGCGCATCTGGTGTTGTGCGTGAGGCTGCCGGCAGCCGCTGCCAACCCAATGTGGGGTGCATTGCGCTGCGCCAGCAGTCTGACAACGGTGTGGTTTGCTCGTCGGCTAAGGGCCTGTCCATGAAGGAGCCCTTCGCATCTATCCTACAAGCTACAGCAGTGCTTTGCATGCAGGAGCATTTAACTTGCGAATAAGCCACCTGGCAGGATGCCGGAATTGCTGGGCTGATGCCTTGTCTCGGGGGGCATCCCATGATGCAACTTTCTGGAACCAGCTGAGTCCGGCCCGGCGCAGGCACTTGAATTGGCGGAGTATCATGCAGGCTGGCAGGCCTTGCCGTCTATCCCAGGTGAAGCTGCCATGATAGCTGTACGCAGGTAAATTGCTTCCTCTTGGTGAGTGCAGGATGCCCTTTATTCCAAATTGCAGCTTCTTGGAGCTTAGCGCCGCATGGCTTGACCTGTCTTGCTTTGGGTCTGCTAAATTGCTAGGGAGCCCCGCCAGTCGCGCTTTGTGTGGTGTTGCAGGTTCTGGCTCCGGGCATGGGCTCTTGGCTGCGGCGTTGCTTTAGTGATTTCAGGGACTTGGGGAAGGAGGGATGCCCTTCCTTCCCCTTCAACTTGTTCAGAATTTTGCAGCCAAAAAGGAGTGTTCGCCAAGGCCCTGTTCATGCGTAGTTGGGTAGGCACTGAGAGTTGGTCTGTCTGCGATGGGGTAGGTTTGGCTACTGGCCAGCGCATACAGCTAACCCTCTACCCTAGTCTACGTAGCATGTCTCCTTTATGTGTGTGCGTGAGGCTCTGGTGTTTGCCTTGTTGCTTCAGGCCCTTGCTTGTGTGTTACAGGTACCTTGCTCAGATCAGATTTATACCGCGATTTCGAGTCTCCCGCCCGCCCGCCCCAGATGGGGAAGTGGGCTGCGGCAATTCCAGCCTTGCTTAGCCACTTTCGGCCCAAGGGCCCGGTGATTTCAGGGATTTGGGGAAGGAGGGATGCCCCCCAATCCCTTGTAACTTGTTCAGAATTTTGCAACCAAAATGGAGTGTTCGCCCATGCCCTGTTCATGCGTAGCTGGGTAGGCACTGGGTTCGGCAGATTCAGTGCTAGTGCCGGGCCACCTCGGTCATCATGGATGTCTGGAGCAGCGGTGGGAGAAGATGGAGGAGGGCTTAGCACTCACTGGTGAGGTTGGTGAAATGCATCTACGAATACGAAATGTCCAAAACTTTGTTCTGCGCTGGAAGGAGTGTGGCTGTAGCGGGTCCTCGTGCTGGCGGATGGAAGTGAAAACCTTTGGTGGGGCCATATACCTCAAAAAAGTGTTGACTCAAGCTATTTAATTTGTGCGGTGGAAGGGGACAAGTAAAGAGTGGAGGTACCTGGAGGTTGAGGAGGCAAGGTTGGAAGAGTGGATAGATGAGGAGTGAATGTGGAGAAGAGGGGCATGCGGGGGGGTGCAGGTAGGAGGTCAATGGTGTTCAAGGTGTTGCTTTGGATGATGGTTGATGTGCAAGTAGGAAAAGGCAAGATGCCTGCTCCCAAGCAGAGTCTACTCCTGGCGACCCTGGACCCACGACTTGCAAATCTGCCGCAGGGTTTCAGTGGAAAATGGCTGGAAGGCCGGTTGGCTGCGGGGACCGTCTGGGGTGGGGCAATGGCTGGTTTTCACAACCAGCGGCCTTGGCGGCTATGAAGCTTTGCAACAATCGATCAAGAATTGGGCACAGCCTCTTCGTGGACCAAGGGAAGAGCAATCAGCCACCTGATGCGTGGTAGCCGAGTGCTTGGAGCTTTTGCGGTGCTGCCCAGCCATCGCTGTTTGCCTTGCGATGAGGCCGAGATCCCTCCGCGGACAAGGAGGCAGAGGAGCTATCCTGGCAATCCTGCTTTGATGCATTGCGCTGCTGCTGCAGCTTCGGTCACAGTTCTGCTCCAGGATTGCAGCAGCCCCACTTGTGGCAACGAGGCTAGCAGCTTGAACTCCTAAACGCAGTCTGCCCGCAGTTCAAAATGAGGTCATCGTTACCTCACTTGTTGTTAGGTTCTTTTTTGGACTTTGCGCGGTTTCCCAACAATTGCCCCGCACATGCTTCGAGCAGCGACCTGAACTATGAAAAAATGTCAGTCATGAGGCGGCACCGGAATTTTTAATCCGCGTTTCAATGAAGAAACCTTCATCCCTGTGAGCTGTTCGGCACAGGTGGTCAGGGTTGGATTTTCATGCTTTCTTGGCAACCTGTTTGCTGTTCCAGTGGTGCGTATAGGCGTATATGTAAGTGCAGTTGCAGCAAGCGAACATGATTCGATAGCTTGGTCAGGAAGGCAGGCTGGAGCCGGACACGGCATCCACATCGACGGCCACTGGAGAGGCGCAACAGAGCGGGGAAAGTGTCGGCTTACAAGTAGGACTGAGATGAGGGGTTTGGTGTCTTGTCTGATCTTGTCTGCATCAGGCCGGGTCCACAACACCCACATTGACGAGCTCCCAACCTAGTTGCCTTGTGTAGGTATGTGCAACAATCGGCTGTCTGTCATGCTCAGCCGCGCAGCGCCAATTTTTTCGTGCAAAGGTGATTTCTGTGCAGCGGCAGAGACATGTTCCAGCCCTGTGAGCGTGTCAGTTGGAAGCTCATGTTGATAGCCAGCACCAACAAGCGTTCTTCATCTCCAGCTCAGGATGTGACCTGCAGTCCTCCAGGGTCGCCAGGCCGTGCACTCCAGGCACCTGCGGCAACTCGTGCGGCTTGACAATGCTTGGGTGTTTCCTGCCTTTTCAGGATGAGGAATTTGCAGACTGGACAGTTTTGCACACGGACTGGGCTGTAAGTCTGAAACCCACCCGAGACCAGTGTTGGACGGTGATTGCGCAATCTCGCAGGACCCCTTGAGGGCAAGCTCATTGCCTGAGTCACCACCAGCTTCGACACCATTCTGCATTTGAAGCTAAGAGACCAGCCTCTCTGCACGTTGGCAGAAGCACTTGTCATGAAGCCTTGAACAAGGAAGACGTGGGCGACTATCACGCAAGAGGCTGCGATACAGGGGCATGACGACTGCTGCCGAACATATCCTGCTGTGTTGCGGAGCCTGCTTCAGCTGTGCCCGCCAGCAGTTTGCATGGAGGCGCTTTCTGCGTTGGGCAATGCTTAGAGGATGCCTGGAGGCCTGTTGCTTGGAGGGGTCCAGCTGGCTGTGGAAGTGACGTTGCCTAATCAGGACACGGGCTATGTACCCAATGAGGTAACAAGTGCCATAGACTTGTAATAGCGAAGCCATACGGAAATGCAGTGCAAAGACCGCAGTGTCACGCGCTGAGCCAAATGGCCAGAAGCAGCTTGCGGCTAGTTCAACTGTTTCAAAAGTACATTATCAGAAACACCTGACGTTTGCCGAGCAAGGAGCAGTGCAGCATCTTGCTCAACATCTTACTTTGTTGCTCAAGCTTGGTCGCATTGTATGATGCCACGCCATGAATTGAGTGCAGACGTCAGACTCCCAAGGGGAGCTGCACAGGTGATGCCGTCTGATAGTGACACCTTATGCTCGCAGAAACCGCCAGCAAAGGCAGGGAACAAGTTTTAATGACGGTAGACTATCAAAAGTGAGACAAGTCAACTTGCCTGCTCCGTGTCAGCAAAGCGGTAAATCCAGGTGTTCAGCGCGCGAGATAATTTGGATAGGGCTTTTAGCTCACATCGTACCAGCCAGTTTGTTTTCAAATCTAGTAACAACTTACTGAAAAGAGATCAATTCGCCGGACTGCCTCACATACACTTGCATGGTCTCACTTTTGCCAAAGCGTCTGGGCCAACCAGGCACCAAGTGGGCTTTGGTGCAGACTGCTCAGAGGCGGGCTAGTCGTGAGGCTTCATTTTTGAACAGTTGGACAGGCTGCGCAAGGGCCGAGTGTTTGAACAAACAGCCTGAAGATTCAGAATGGGACTTAGGGTTGCCTAATTGGACAACATGCGTTTTGTTGCTGTGCTTTTTTCAATCACTTACCCGCAGCGTTTCGCTGCATGCAGCTCCACAACTTTTAGCCAACAGCAAGGAGGTCTTTAGATGGCGCTCCTTCCCTGATTCAGTCTGACTTTGGCAGGCTTGTACATATGTGCATGAACGCTCAGCTATTTGATTGAGCACTTGGATGGGTATGCAGCCGGAATCCTTGCCCCAATTCTGCAAAGAAGATAACTTCTGGATTTCTTTCGGACTGGCGTTGCCCTGCAGTAGAGGAGACCCGACTACAATGCAGTGACATCCAAAACGCGATCAAATTGAACATCTTGCAAGAAAAAGTTGCCGAGATTTCCCTCCTACTAGGTAGCGAGGTCAAGTCGTGTGCTTCGCGTACACACTGACAGAACTGGGACGTCATGGTGCGTGACCCAGGGGAAAGAATTTTTCCGTCCGCCATTTGGGCTCGTGTCCTGGTACGCGGTGAAGGAGAACTGGTTCAGGATCAGCAGAAGCTCATATAGTGTTGGAGAAGAAGCTGGTACAGTATAAAGCACAAATACAACATCTATGAGTCACCATGGGAGATTGATTAAACTATCCCCAAGCCTCGTCCTTTTGTCCGCTGTCGCAAGGTTTTCCGGCGAAGGTATTTAGCCACATGGCCTGTTTGAGAGGCCAGCTGCAGCTAGCTTGAACGTCTGAAGCACTCGCAAGCAGAATCGAAAGCAGAACTGCGAACATGACCTTCAGCCGGCAACTTCGTCAGCATGATCCGGGTCGCCACTTCTTGCATGTGCGAACTCATGTGTTGGCAAAGTTCTACATTGCTGTGTGCTTACGCATAGACGTGTGTCCGTATCAACATCTTCGCATCTGCAAATTCTTTTAACAAGAAGCCACACACAATGCTTACGGTCGTGGAAATTGACTCTTTGCAGTCCCTTTGCGCTTGATTCACCGGCCAAGGAGGCTGCTATCTCATGATATTTAAGTGGCAAGGACTGTCTCAAGTTGTTGGTTTTTTTTGGCACGCTGGCGGAGAAGACGCAACCCTGCCTTCCATCGACAAGTTTTTGCATGGTGCTCTCGGTCACTCATGCCAAATTGGCGTCTTTGACATGTACAAGCGAAGTGTTGCCCCATATCAGGTCCAGAAGGCCTCTAGCAATGCGGTGGTTCCATAATTCAATCCGGGCAAGGAGTCCCCAAACCGTCTTATCTGTTTCCAGCTCACAGCCACAACAGGTAGTGAGTGCTATTTACCAAAGCTAGCGGAGCTAGGCTTGAGTTTAGTCTTGCTTTAGCAGTAGTAGCTGTCAAGGTCTGGAAAACGACGGATCGTGTGATTTTTCACGGGGAGGGGGAGGTCTCCTGTGAATATAATTTTGGGAAACCATAATCCCAGTTTCCATTTCATTTTCCATTTTCTTTTCCATTTGATTCTCCATTATTGGGGGGCTAATATCCCTATTTCACAGGAAGGTGTGGACTTGGAGGGGCGGGGGTCCAATGTGATTCTTTCTGCGAGAGGCTTCGTAGGCATAACGTCGTGTTTGGTTGGTAATTGTACGATAACATCATGCCTGGTTGTTGCATCAAATCTTTTTTTCTCAATGTCCACTGCCCTGACATGCTCATGTCACGAATTAACGACTCTATAACAATCCTTACCACTTACTTCTTTGATATTTTCTTTCCATTTAACTTCTCATGCTGTAACTAAAGCACTACAGTTTCCAGTTCCTGTAAATGTTGCTGTTGATGTTGGAGAACCGTAAGCATCACAACCAAATGATGTCATGCCTAATTATTAGCATTATTAACTGACATTGATATTTGTCCGTTGTTGTCTGGATTATGAATTTTGACTCCTTGACTTACTGATACATCCGCACGCGTAATGTCTACATGTCCTAATAGATTGGCCTGTCTGTCTGTTGCTTTAATCTCTGGTGTTGATGATTGTAGTCCCATCGTAATATTGATGTCTCCGAAAGCATTGCTGTTGCTCATAAATAACTTATACTGTCCGTCCAATACTTCTTGAAACTCACTGTTGTTCTGAAACATAAAGCGTCCCAACTAGTGAGATCCGCTTTTCCAACAACATCACCAAGACTACTAATTGTTTGATAGTTTATAGCTGCGCTATCACATTAATTCTAATTCTGAGAGTGTGGTTTAGTTGTAATGCCATTGTTGCTGTTGTGAGGTCGGATGTTCTATCCGTCTGTATATTTGTTGGTATTGTATGTTAATTGTCCTTGGCGTTCGCTCTTTGGTATAATCTTGCGCTCGTGTTTTATGGTTGTTCTATCGCTAATGTTAGATTCTAGTTATATCACACGTTACGTCGTTTTCCAGACTTGAAGGCTACCACTGTTAAAGCAAGACCAAACTCAAGCCTAGCTCGCTTGATGTGTGCTGCTATGGTTGCTGTTGTAGAGTCTGCCTCCTTATTTGATCGAAGCCAGAAATTGATTTCATGAAAAGTAGTGATGTTTAATGATTTACTACCGTATCGTGTTGGCGAGGTTTTGCGAAGGGTTTTCCAGGCCTCTTAACGAGGCTTGTGCTTTTTTGCTGCTTTGTACTGTACCTTCCCTCCTCCTCTTCTACCCTACTCCAGATGGGGCCTGGCTAGCTTTCGTTGGCCTCGGCTCGCCCCTCAAGTAGTGCTTGGCAGGGTACTCATAGAGATCGTGCGCAACCTTCAGAAGCCCATCTTCGTAATCAAGCACGCTGCCTGCTTTCGAGCTGATTTGGCTTACGACCTCGGAACCCTGAGGGTCGGAGACTTGCGGCTTTCTCAGTTGCACGTGTGGACCTGGCCACGCCTGCCACACACGCACAGAGTATCACAGAGTCGCAGGGTAGATCCTTGCGAATCACTGTCACTTTCTTCGCTGCGTTGCCCAGTGCATGTCTCACGTAAGTGGAACGAGTTTGCCATACAAAGCACCGCCCGCTGGCCTCTTGCAGCAATGGAGCCTATCAGGGAGAGCCTGGAAGAAGGCACCCCCACGTCTGCGTCCACGCACCATGGACGCATTGGAAAGCGTACCAAATTCAAGTACGGTTTTAAGCTCGGGTGCTGAAGCTTGTTGTCGCGTGGGCATGGCGGGTTCTGCAGACGTGAAGGCTTTGCTGCAAAATGGGCCTGAGCAAGTTTGGCTATTTTGTTTACAAAACGAGTGGGACGTTCATGTATGATACTGTGAGGTCCTCCAGCCCGCCTGGGCTCAAGCCTACAGAGCCTGTAGGGCCTGGAAAAATGACCAGCGCTGCACTCATTTTGCGAGTATCTCGAGTAGATTGCTTGGCTTGACTGTGCTGTCGCATGCTCTTGCGATGAGACGCCCCCACTTCTAAGGCCTTGCTGCAGCTCTCAAACTGGACCCTAGCCTCATGAGCCAGCCCCTCAGACATGCGTGCAGATGTTGCTATATGAGTCCACATCATTCATAGTGTTTTGTGGTCTTGTGGCTGCTCCAGTGCAAAATGTAACTGCAACATGCCCTTCATCAACATCACACTGTCAGGTGTCTTTGAAGTTCAGGAAGTCTGCAAAACAGTTGAGGACCAGATCAATGCTGTGATATCTCGTGCCAGGAGTTTATCAATGCTCTAGGTGGGTCGCAGAAGATGACAGGGGACATCCGGGCACGGTTTCGGGCCTAACATCAACAGTCAAAGGATGCGCCGACCTGATGCCTCCACTTGAACATTGATCTGATCTCGAACGGCTCCCCTTTCCCTGTGACCAACGGCCCCTAGCCTTTGTGGCCCTCTGCTGAAGTAAAGTTCCAAAAGCAGACAGCAGATTCGCGAACGATGGCTGTCTGAAATGGTTCATCCAAGACTCACGCCATCTCACGCCTCTTCAAAAAAAGAGTTGGCTGATTCAGGGTGATGCGATGTTTTGTTGCATTTGCTTTGGTCGGGATATGAAGTTCGATGAAATAGTTTGACTTGTCTTATGGGAATCGAAGGCGTATGGGCAGCCTGTGACCAAAGAAGCTGCCAGCGCACCATTTGGAAGGAGTTTCCGGATCTGCTGACCAAGCTTCAAGATCAGGCCGCTGCATACCAGCGCTGCGAAAGTTTACACACATGACCCCCAAACAAAAGATTGCCTACTTAACGTCGGGTGAATGGTGTTGCGCTGGTTTCCCAGCAGTACTAAGTCA